TTCTTAGTTTTTACGGGTTAATGCACGAAACTTTATTTATTTATTGACGTTTCGTAGCGTTTACAGGCTTCGTCGTCAGAATAAAACTTTTATTTAATTTGTCGAGCTACCTTCGAAAGACTTTTATTGAATTGAAGCATCTCGAGTTTGTTTGACCCTGGTAATCAAGATTCTTAATTTCCATTTTTTTTACCTGTGTGAAAATAATAAACCTACTTTCAAGTTGTTTTTGCCATTTTTTACGTATGCTGTGTACACTGTTGTGGATGGCCGTTTAGATTTTTACTAGATTTTCGTTTTTTTTTTAGCTAAGTAATAACTGGACTCTGTTTGTGTACCTATTAAATAAATTTATATAAACTAGTGGCCCGCCCTCGCGTCGCTTCAGTGTAGAGCTGTATTGTAGGCTAAAATGACTCTTCATAAAATTATAAACAAAAAAAATGAAAATGGTATACTTGCCTTTTCCTTTTTATTGACAACTTTTATTGACATCACGTCACTCAATTGTTTTACCTTACCGGAACCTCTCCACTAACATTTGAAATTTATGGTATGGTATTAAAGTTCAAATTAACTTTTAAGTATTATTACGAATCGCTTGTATGGGAGTATTTTTTTAAATTTTTCTCTGCGTAAGAACCATCCTCGTACTTCTAGGAATATTCAAAAAAAGAATTATCGAAATCGGTTCAGCTGTTCTCGAGATTTGCGCTTAGTAATACATTCAGCGATTCATTTTTATATTATGGACAAGCTATCGTCAAGCGTCTGTAGACACGCAGCCAAATAATTCATTACGACAGAATAACTTCGAACGCAAATTTTAGCGTATGTAATACCAGAGCCACCCAGAGCTTCGTCGAGCAGGTGTGGGTGAAGCATAAGAAATGTTTTGGGCCTTAATGACATTCCTATTTTTAAATTTAACAACGCAGCCTATTTGCCTAGATTAATGAATAATGCTTGCCATCGACCTCTATGAGTGTTCTAAAACAAATTATTGTATTTTTATATCATTATCATTTTATCTACTTGTGTCGATAAAAAAACTACGAATGCAACAAAACCTAGTGAACATGCGCATGCAGTGTACTGAAAGATTTGATGGATGTTCTAGAAGACATATTTTAATAGGTTTGTCTGGTTGGACAGTGAGCTCAAACTTCTTCCTTAATGTTGAAGCTCTTTATAACTACCAACATGTTCTAAGGGAATAGGAGTCAACGGTTGAGTGATACTATTGTTGACGTTCCTAGGATGATTTAAAAGAGCTTTAATAAGTCAGCTTGGAAAAAGTTTATCTTCATTTCATTTATTGTAAGCGGCTATGGTGGCCGCTTACTCTGTGGTTTATTATGTGTTTATTGTTCTAATCTTTTTATAATAAAAACAGAAAAGAAACTTGAACTAGAGCTAATATAGGTCAGCATACAGAAAGTTTTTCTTGAAAGTTAACGCTTTTCGGTACGAAATATACACGAAACTTTCGAACTTTACCAAATGTTGAAAAACAAGGCTCGGAAAATACTAGCTTGCCAAGGTTGATTATGGTGTAACTTTTACCCAGAAATACGCAATTAAGCTTTTAAAGAAACTCCTCAAAGTGACTTTGTGTATATTTGAAATATCTTATTGGATTACGAAGAAGAACTAGTCGACTGATTTTATTAATATTGACATTTCGAGAGTTTAGATTTATGTAAACTTTTCCAGGCAGTCAGAAATAAACAATTATCACGTCTTGTGCCATATTATTTATATCCGAACGATTGTTTAAGAGTGCTCCCTAATAATCTACCTTTAAATATTTAAACACCGCCCTGTGTTTAAAGATTCCGTGAATGGTTTCTTGGAAATGTAGTCCAATTTCAAAAGGAAACGCATGAATCTTTAAATAATACCCGTATAATATTCAAATTACGTAATATATTTCAAGTTTCATACGATTAACAACATTTTCCCATAATAGGTCATAGGTAGGGCATAGCGGATTTTCAGCTCGGTTTCGAGCGCCCGTCTGGGGAAGAAAATTCCACCTTTGAGAATACTACTGTTGTATAAGTAACACTTCCTTTTGGTGTGGACTAGTTTACCGTCGAAAGATAACTTTTATAGTAGTCTTACGGGCGAATCAATAAACCAAAATGATTTAATTTGTATTATTAATTTAGGAGAATATACAGATTTATATGTCAAAAGCGATGTTTTGTTATATGCTGATATATTTGAAAATTTTCGCGGAACGTGTAAGAAAAATTATGACTTAGATGCGGCATTTTATCTGACAGCTCCAAACCTCAGCTTCGATGCAATGCTTTTAAAAACTAAAGTTAAGTTAGAACTTATATCCGATTTAGAAATACACTGTATGATACAAAACGGTATACGAGGAGGCATCTGCTTATGTTCGAAAAGATACGTTCAATTCAATAATTAATATCATTTTAATTATGACTCCACTCAACCTGTGTTTCTGTTGGTGAGTTAAGTTCCAGGGCTCCACGGGGTAGGGGATGGGGATATTTTTTGTATCGCAAGTGTCTATAAACTATGGAGGCCGCTTATCATCAGACGGGCCATATGCTTGTTGACACTCTTTAAACATAAAAATGGGGGCAACAAATTAATAAATAGGTACATAATATAATATATTTAACATTTCCAACACTCACACCAATTAGCCGAGTCTTAAAACAAGTACAGATATTGCAATCTACGAAGACGCGCCCCACTATTCCTACTAACCGTTTAAAGTAAATGTGTGCCAGCTTCCGCCAATATTTGAATGTTATCGGTACATACTAATTATCTATGATAATAATAAATAATAATATGGTAATTATCTTTTTTGAGAGAGGAGCTCGATGGCGCAAGGAAGAGCTCGCAAGTGATTAGCGCGTTCGGCTGCGATCGTTGAACTTAAGCAACTTTCGCAGTGGTCGGTCATTGGATGGGTGACCAAAAATTACTATCTCGAGCTCCTCCGTACTTTGGAAGGCACGTTGAGCCGTTGGCCCCCGCTGCATCTGCAGTCGTTAGCACCCACCAATCCGCACTAGGCCCGCGTGGTCATGGCCCAAACTCCCATTTCCATCCATAGGGAAGGCCTGTGCCCCAGCAGTGGGGACATTAATAGGGTGGTGATGATGATGTGATGATCTTTTTATCACTAATTATCCTACAACCAAAAATTGGTGGGGCGCATCTTCGTAGATTGCACTATCTGTACTGTAAGGCTTCTGTGATAGGATACTAGGGTAAAGGATAGAAATAAATTAATGATAAACGAATATGTATATTTGGTACTACTAGAACTGGGCACAAATGCTCCTATTCATAATACAAATATTTGCCCCATCCGGGATTTGAGCAGAAGACCTCGCCACATGGAGGTAGTCGATATAATAAAAAAACACAACAGGATTAAATTTGATTGCGTTACTTGTCAACATACAATATGTTTAGGCCTTTTACTATAGATAATTCGTAGTTAATAAACAGACAAGGTAAGATTACAAAATAGTGTTAACGGTGGCCAAAGATATAGAAACAAAATTTGTTAAAGGATAATCAAAATACAGATGACATTCTAATATAATTTCCCCTTTCACGTGGATTTATTTAATTTTTCAAATACACATATAAAATCCTTAGTGAGGACAAAAAATATCTTAAATGCTACCCGACCGAACTAGGCAAACGACCCGTATAACAATGCTCCCTATATTTCTTTTAAATATTCACATCACAGAAACCTAACTTTATTCTGGAATAAAAATTATCCATAAATCTAAAGAAAATTTCACTAGAAAAAATCCACTCGGTTCCGTCTAACGCCTGGATCTGGCATTCGAATGCTTAAGAAATATAAATAATATGAATCCATCTATAAATATCTTGCCTTCAGCTTTTAGAGCGGCAAATATCATTCAAATTCATTCAGTAGTTTTTTCATTACTAAGGTCCACTTGGACCCAAATTCCTAATTTAAATTTAGGCTAAATCATATTTAACACATCATGCCGTCTTTATCAATTCTCTTAAGCCAAATAAAGATAGAATGAAGCTAAAACATGATTAGCTTTTAAATTTGATGCAAGTGTTGAGTTACAATCTATGGGGAGGCCTTTGCTTAGATTTGGTTCGACGTACGGCTGATATGATGATGATGAGTTAAATTGTTTTTAAACATCCAAATATATTCTTTCAATTTATATTAAGTAAGATATCCGTCCATTCTTACCTTAGTAAAAAAGTCTAATGAAATTTACGTTAAAAATTCAAATTCCATGAGTTTCTCAGTTTCTTACTTTTTTAATTTTAAAGGCTTATGCTCATAACACGTCCATAACCAATTTTAAGAGACATTCTTGCAAATTCCGTGTATTTGACAGAGTATGTAAGACACTGATTAATGTATGCTGTAGAGAAAAAGAATGATGCTACTACAAATAATATTGTCTTAGATATAACTTAACGATGCTTTATTTAATGTACTGGTATGTTCAGACTCAACTATTTCAATGACATGTATTTTATTACAAAAGCCGAATTACATCATAAATAAATAAATGCAGATATAATATTTCCAAAAAAAAAAGTTGTATACTGTACTAATTATGTAATCTTGTTTTTAATTTCTGAGCTACCTACTGGAGGTTAGGCATGACTTCTTCAAATTCATAAAAAATGATCTATTGCAAAACTATAACGTGGTCGCTTTGTATTTATATTCATTAATATTGATAAGATAAAAACTCATCTTCATTTTGAATGAAGTTATCTGTTAAGAACTCTATTGTTTAATATCGTAAGACTACATTGAGTGTAAATGTATGTTGAAAACGTTGTTACAAATAATTCACTAGAGTATATGCAAAACAGATTCACAATCGCGCTATCTTAACAGACCATTAGCCACAGCTAACGCTCCATCCAATAAAGCGGAATCTTAAGTACTATTGCGGCTTAAACACTTTTACGACACCACCATTTACCTGATATTCCGTAACAATCACTTGTGTGCACAGTAACTCACTCCACGCTCACTGGTAATAAGGTTTATTTATAGGGGAAAAAACTATTTGAAAATCTAAAGTCGTACGATTTGCGCTCAACACGTCCAGGACACGCGCTCGCTCAATCGACTTTCGCTTGTTTCGTAGCGCGTAGACCCGTCCGACCCGCTACGCCGCCACGATAGCACTGGCAACGCGCGCGCTACGAACCACCCGCTACAGCTTGAATATTACTCGTAGCACAGATTTCGCAATCAATAGCCTTAGATATAATTATTATTATATGTTGGTAATATTGAATCTAAAAATAGTTTTTTTTCTCTAATCCTCCCTGCGTAATTTACATTAATTGATTGATGTACACCAGTATTTGCAAATGTCTCAATCGAGAGAATGATTTTAGAAATGTAAATACAAAAAGTAGGTAAGAGAATTAAAATTACTAAGAAAATTATCATTGAATGAAAAAAAAAGATTGTAAACAAATCTTTTTTGTTAGCTCCCATTTTCTTGAACATAAAAATATATGAAAACCGTTTCGTTAACGATTTGGTTCTACATTTTTTCATTTAAATTGATAGGTGTTTTAATATTTTCAACACTAAAACTTTTAGTATCTAATATATATTTATCTTAGGTGTCATACATTTTATGTCACGTACTATAAGATATAGCGTCACTAGACCTAATTGTATGTGTTGATAGAAGTTTGGTGATGACAGCACCTTCTAAAGTAATAAAATAAATATTAGGTGACATAAAACTGAACTTGTGACAACAATGAAAAAAAACCGATCATAGCATAGCTTTTACAAATAGATGTTTTGACAACTCATTGTTAACATTGTATAACCAAACCCCGCTCACACCAAAGTTCTTAATTCAAATTGAGGCATAATCATAATCGTGTCTTTGTCTATTTATTAACAGTAAAATAGAGATGGAATGAAGCATAAACATGATTAGTTACATAATTTGGAAGTTTGGTGCAAGTGAACCTAAAAATCTTAATCACAGTAGGTGATTCACTTCTGCAATCACACTTCATAAATTTCATATATTTCATAAAAGCAGAAAGTTGACAACAAAAAATATATTAAAATCATCAGACAGAAATAAGTACAAGTAAAGATTTCCCGCTAAAATTGGAATGCCACCCATATCTGGTAGCAAACGCCACCTCACAGAAAACCGCAGTTAACTAACGATAATAATGGTGTTGTTTTCTTGTCAGTTAGCAAGGCACCCAGGGTTCCACGACATACTAGAAGGGGCGATATGCAATGGTGGATAACACCTCGCCGGTCATGTGCCTCTGAAAGCAGATTGTATTAATGCAATTTGATAGCAAAAATAATTTGCTTATGAAAATGCTTTTACGGAGTAACTCACAGACGTACCTAGAAACAGATGACGGAAGTATATGTACTTCGAATGCCAAAAGGCATGATCAAGGCAAAATGGTCATCCTTTTACGCTAATTTACGATATCGATAACGGACGTCAATCTTAATGTTTAAAAAATATCTATAGGTGACCGAAGCCCATGCTGTTTCATCACTTATTTGTTCTCGCGTCTGTGTCATTCTGACACGCTCGGTTTCCGTACAATTTGAAGTACATCCAGCATCTATTTCAATATAGATCTGTGGAGTAACTGCTTTCACGGTCCATATTCTTAGAATATAGAAATAGCTTCATAGTTCGTTCGTTAATTTCGTGCGAGTTTCCCTTAACATTGCCGATATAATTATACACTACCATGTTTCGGAGTGCCGAAACCAGAATTCGAAATTGGATAGCATAACTGCAAAATGAAACTTCAGAGTGGAGTAAAGTTTGATGCGAGTTGCATTTAGCCGCGTCGCGGCAACGACGGTAGATAGGTCCTTTGCACGTTCAGGGCACCGCTGGTAGTGACTTCGGTGCAGTTGGAATATCGTTGCTAGCGTAATGTAATAAAGACGCTTTGGAATGTTAAATTATATCAAATAATTTAGGCTGCATTGTACATTTCGAATTCTTGATATAACTCACTGGTCGATTGGCGTGTTTCAACTGCGATGTCAAGCGTTGAGCAGTTTTTACGAAGACGACTATCAGATTGCCAAACTTTATAGGATTTCAATACTTTATGGAATTAATTTAAGGTATTGTTTTATTAAATATTGACAAGGTTAGTAAGTTTGGTGTATCCCCTGGACCCAATTTAGTTAGTTGCGACGTCAGCGATTGTATTGTTTAGCAAGATTTTTTTATTAATCCTAGATATATTAATCTTCAGTAGACTATCTTTCATCCAACATTAACGTTGGTATATTATAATATAATATATTATTGGTATATTATTAAATAAATAGAAATTATTATAAAAGTTAGAAATGAAAGGAAACATTAAGTAATTAGAAGAAAGTATTAACATCCGCATAAGTGCTAATGGTACTGTACCCTTAGCACGAACCAATAACGAATTCCTATCGTTTGCGAGTATGAAAAGTCATTGTCAAATGTGTACTGATTTTTAGTTCTCGTTACGTACGTTATGGCGCTAATGTTCATGTTTTCATACAAAAATTTAATAAATGACATTTTGCACTCGCAAACTATTTGAATTCGATAATGCTTCGTGCTATTATGTATGTTATGACGCTGAAACGTAAAACAATTGAATCTCTACAGTACGAACTATCAATAAGACTTAATTAATATATTGTAAAACTTAATTCAATTAAATAATTCGGAAAGTAAATAGTTACATCGCAATGGCAGATACTGCTCGAGATTCGCAGGAACAATGAATGTTATCATGAATACACCACTCACCTCAAGACTCGCCTGACCTCTCTTGATGTTGAATTGTTTTCAATTATTTTCCTTTTTGTGTTCCAAACCAACGATATAAGTTCCATTTGGGTATGACAGCCAATTCCTGTTAGCGTACAAAGAGATTACTGAATGCCAGAATTTATTAATTTAAATCCCATTTAAAGTATATAAGTACAGCAGCAGGGACAAAATTATTTTACGAAATAGGTCTGAATGTCCCTCTTTCTTTGAATTCTTAAATCTCATTTCAGGTTCATTGGGTTCTAGTTACTGTGATATGTTATGACATTTTGAAGATCTATTTATTTAATTAGGATTGACAGGTTTTCTAAGAATCGTTATTGCGTCTACTTGGTAAATTCAAGAAGCTTACTGAATATGAACATCACAATTATTAAACAAATTCATTGATTAAAAGTCGATTTAATGAGAAAATGAATGATTGAGCAGTGTAAAAGAAAAAAGCTCAAAAATAGCAAAGACGTATTCTTCTTCCATTTTCTTACGTCACTCCGAAAATAAGTTTAATGCTTTCAGCGACAATCGTATCATCTCGTACCGTTCTTACGATACACTCGCTGAAGTCTATCAATGTAGTACCTGCTAACGTATTCTTCTTCCATTTTCTTACGTCATTCCGAAAATAAGTTTAACAGAAACTTATTGTCTTGAGCTCCTCCGTGCTTCGAAGGCATGCTAAGCCGTTGGTCCCGGCTGCATCTGCAGTCGTTAGCTAAGCTAAGCCGCACTGGGCCCACGTGGTGGGTTAAGGCCCAATCTTCATGTTCTATGCATAGGGAAGGCTTGTGCCCCAGCAGAGGGGACATTAATGGGCTGATGGTTATGACACGCTTAAGTGCCGCATGTATGCCAACCTAGAACAGCATTACCTCTCTCATTCAGTGGGTGTCATAGATGGCAACTATGGGAACACAGCCAGCAGAAAACCGACAGCAGTGTCTTCTCCCCCAATCCGATGGCCATACTACGATCGCCAACCCGCTTAACAGGCGTAGCGATTACGGCAATATCCCTTAAACCAGGGGTCAGCGACCAGCGGCCTGCGGGCCCGTGGACCTTCTTGGTGCGGCCCGCAAGCCGGAGGTCTGCAAGAAAAAAATACCGGAGCAAAAGTGCCAAAGTGCATGCTGCTGGTGACAGTATTCTTGAAAGCTTGGTCCCATGCGGGGTATGAAAAAATGTACCTATTTAATTTCTAAAGAACTGTTTATCAGGACTGTGCTGTAAGTTATTGTGTCTACCGAAAATAAAAATATACTCTAGTCAATTCAAAATAGAAAATCCATTTGCGTTTATCCACTGTACGTGGCCGTCAGCTGCGGCTCCCTTGAGACAATAGGCGGCGACACTCTTTGATTAGACGCAGGTGTGCGGCGGCTGAAAAATTCAAAGCGACCAGCTTTGGTTAGAATCATAACCGCACGCAGCTCGCACCTCATTCCGTTGTTGAGCCGGAAAATCACGTCTCATCTGGTTTCCAGTCAAGCGTTTTGTTTCATAGCTTGTCACGACGTTTGAGGTAAGTATGTTGTATGCACTCGCGAGTAATTTATCATATTTTTTGACTGCTTGTTTATGTGAACCTTCAGATTGATGGGTAAATATTCTAATGACGGGGATAGTGCTAGACTACATAGTTATGTCATGTTTTCATTGCACATTCTTTATTTCATACTATAATTTTCTTTTTATATTGCTATTGGGAATTTATTTTAAAGAAAAATATCCCTTATTAGAAATTCCCGCTTTCCGTACTAAAAGACACGGTAAATTGAATAATTGAAAATTTGAAATTTAAAAAAAATAATTAACTGTAATAATAAAAAAAATACATTCCTTTTTGAATGAGTAGTTGAATTTGTAGCTATGTATGTACCAACTCGTACATATTTATTTTTAAATTTTAGACAATATTAAAAATATCTTCATTATTGTTACAGAATAATTAAATAAACATGGCTTTAAGAAAAAGGAAGATAGAAGAAGAAAAAAGAGTTTTTTACGAATTATTATATTAAAAACCGTTATGCTTGAAATGTCAAAAGAGTATTTCTGTAGTAAAGGAATATAGCCATGACATGACGACACTGAGAACAAAACTAAATTTGACTATCTTGAGGGACTTTCCACTTTGAGATCGTCGTTACGTCGTAGCAGACATCAGCAAATCGAATGTCTGTGCCAGCTCCAGGGTAGCAGAGATATAAGCAAAACTTGGACACTCGTTTACTGATAGTGAATTCGTAAAAGAGTGTGTCTTAGCTATGGCAGAAGCAATATGCCCAGAGCAGAAAAAACTTTTTGAAAGTCTTAGTCACTCTGCTAGTACTCACCCCCGACCTACCGAAGACTTGGGTGCTAATTTATATGAACAACTCA